CAGGCCGCCCTCCACGCACCCCAGTCCTCCGGGCCCAGCAAGTTGTCGGTGAAAAACCGCGTCGGGTCCGCAATCTCGCTGAGGAGCATTAGCTCCGCCATCTTCCCCCGCCCCCCAACCACGAGCCGGGTCCGAGGCCCGCCTCTCTCCTCAGCAACTAAGGAGTTGACTCTTCAAAAAAGGGGGCGGTCCCGGAAGCTATTCCGACCAGTAAGACAGCTGGGTGCTGAGCACAGGCCTCCGAGGAAGAGGCGGCCCCACAGGCCGGGCCAATGGGAGCTCGGCAGGACCGGCCTAGCACTTGCGCATGCGCAGAAGGGGACCCAGCGCGAAAGCGCCTGGGAGGTGTAGTTTCCAGGGTTTAAAGGTCCGCCGGCTCCCGCGGCCGGTACTAAATTTAGAACTTCGCTTCTACTCCTCTTCGGAAATGGGTAAGCCCCCTAAAATATAGTGCACGTGGCCATGGCTTTTTATGGTTAAAAAAAAAAAAAAGGGAAAGAGGTGCACTGAGACCACTGCCACCTCCCTTAGGAAGGCAAACACTGGGAATGGGATATGGGCTGAAACCCTCCCTCAGGGCCCCACGCCCCCAGATCTCACAGCACAGACCACGATTCACAGGTTTCTGTCCCTTTTAAGGGTTAACTTTTAATCAGCCAAACATCTTGCGGAGACCCTGAGCCAGTCCTGCATCTTGTTTCTTCCCCTGAAAGATCACCTTTCCCAGCTCCTCCTGGGCTGCCCGGTTTTTTGGATCGACTGCCAGCACCTTCTTGAGGTCAGCAGTTGCTTTTTCCAGGTTTCCAAGGGCAGCCTGAGCAACCCCCCTTCGGTACAAGGCCTTCACATGCCCAGGCTCCCGCTCCAGCACCCGGTCACAACTCTGGGCTGCCAGGTGGGGCTGTCCCAGCAGCAACTGACAGGCAGCCAAGTTGGCATGAAGGACAGTGCGCTCTGGAGAGCCAGGTGGAGGTAAAGTCAGCAGCAGCCGAAGAGCCCGTCCGTAGCATCGGGCAGCCCCTTCTGGGTCCCCAGCTCGAAATAACTCTGTTCCCCGCGCACGTTCTTGCCTAGCCAGGGCCTCCTTCTTGCTGGCCTCCAGCTCCCAGGAGTCCTGGCCCTGAGTGAAGGAAGCCAGTGTGAGCCGGACAGGAGGTCCAGAGTGCCCAGGGAGCTGCAGCTCCGCCTCCTCACCCTGACACATGGACTCCAAACATTTCTCTATGAGCTCCCCCCAGGTTCCCTCCCTCCACGAGCCTAAGCCCATAGTTAGCTCTGTCCAGCCCTCTGGCAGCCCTGACCCAAAAGGAAACCCAAAAGCCAGTACGCGGCAGCGGGAGCCCAGCTTGGGTTTGTCCAAGCCGTGGCCACGGATTACGATCTTCTTGACAAAGCTCCCATCCGGACAGTCCCAGAGATCCGGAGCGCGGAGGGGCTCTGGCATCTCACTAGCCGATCCATGGGGCTTCTCGGCGTCTCCTTCGAGCGCAGCAGCCAGTTTTCCAGCCCCTTGAGGAACCTCTAGAAGTTGGCTAGGAGCTGGGCTCATTCTCAGCTCGACTCCAGGCTCTTGCGGCTGCTGCCTAGTTTGAGTAGTTGGATGAAGGCTCTTCTTGGGGTTCCCTCCCCATTGTTGTTGCGGTTCAGAGGTGCTTTTCTCTCCCACTGGATTGATTGGTAGCGTCTCCATTTCGCTGTCTGCTCCCCTCCCCCGTGGGTAAACAGTTTGGGTCGGAAAGGGATGGACCAGGTTCAGGTCAGCACCTGAAAAAAAATCAAAACAATGCTAACGGCAGATTCTTATTTAGACTCCTTTCCTTCCGGGACCTGGGCCTCTAAGTTCTTGTTTCCTCCAAAAATCCTTGTGGGGCTCCAGCCTGGGTTCCACGCAGAATCCGGAACTACAAAGTCCACAATTCCCTGAGGTCCTGTGGCCACCCCAACGACGGAAACCGATCGAGTCCAAAAGTCCTTGGGCGGCCGGAGCGTCCCGCCGGGTGGCGCTGTCCGGATCACTTGGGTCACCTGCGCTTCCGACGCTACGAGCTTACTGAGTGCTGTCCTCCGCGTCCTGCCGCAGGCGGAGAGCCGGCCCGGGCCGGGGCCGAGGCAGGAACCTACAGCTAACCTGGAGCCTGCGAGGCGGCGAGTCCGGTGACGCCGCGCCCAGAAGGCGGGCAACCAGCTTTCTCCCGCCTCCCGATTGGCTGCCGGCTCCCGGGAAGCTCCAGGCCTTAGCAGCCGAACTAGGTCCGTCGAACCCAATCGGGCACGGCCGGTGGCCGGCCAGAAGCCCCGCACTGGCGGATTGGGGCGGACGCGGTAGAAGGGATGGTGCGTGGCAGCGGCGGCAGACCAGCGCCCTCTCTTCGGGCGACCTCGAGCCCTGCGCGGTTGATTTTGTCCCCTTGTTCGGGGCTGCCCGGCAGAGGCCACCTTGCGCTCCTTGCCCGCTCTGTCCCGGCGCTCCAAGAGAATCCTCAGGCCCCATCTCCGCGTCCGGCCCTCCTCCCTCATATTCATCATGGCCTTCAAGCTCGTCCTCCTCAAGAAATCTTAGTGCTTTTCAAATTTTGATGTTCATAGAAAGCACCTGGGAAACTTTAATTCCAGGTTCTGCTTTAGGAAGTCTGGGATGGGGCCTGCAATTCTGCATTTCTAACAAGCACTTGGGCGCTGCTGCTACTGGTCCACGGACCACACTTTGTTTTTTAAAAATATATTTGTTATTGATTCAGAGATAAAGGGAGAGGAAGAGAGAGAGAAACATCAGTGAGAGAGAATCGCTGATCAGCTGCCTCCTGCACGCCCCACACCGGGATCAAGGCCACCTCCTGGGCAAGTGCCCTGATGGGGAATCAGACCGTGACCTCCTGGTTCATAGGTGGACGTGCAACCATTGAGCCACGCCAGCTGGGCCACAGGCCACACTTGGAATAGCATGCTTCTAGAATAACCTCACCCCATTCCCTTCATCCCTTGCCCCTTTAGTGTGTCCTATATCTTGTGCATATAACTAGTATAACCTGCTCCACTGGGTGTATCAGTGGAAAACTGGGCCTCTTCCTCCTAATAGAAGATGTAGGTCCCTTTGTGGTTCAACCTTGCTTGTCCAGCAACCTGCAGGGGTTGGGCCACTGGAGCTCTTCAGGAAAGGAGAGTTGCACTTCCATACCTCACCTTGGCCCATTTACTTGCTTTTTAACGCCTACCATTGTGCCTGTCTAAAAGGACCATGCCAGGACAGTCAGGAGGGAAAACTTTCGTCATTATCCACAGGTGTGAGTCAAAACAGTCCACTTCCTGTTTTGTGTTGAAACTCACTAACCTAGACTTTTTTTTCAAGTTTTATTCCTGGGTTCTGTGCCAGAGTGACCTTAGTACACTGTGCACTGCCACTTCCTTCCCTCTATGGCTACATACTCTTGATTCTTGGAATCCCTGGGCTCTTGTTGAAAATTAATCTATCTTTTCTTCCTCCCTCTTCCTCTTTCCATTTCAGAGACTTCTGGGAAAGGCAGGAAGTCTAGAATGAGTCACAAAAGGTTTTATTAGGTCATAATCCCTGTACAAAGGTTGCTAATTTGTAGTATGTGTGCCTTAATTGAGAGGGCCACTCCAATGACCCTTTAAAGATCAGCTTCTTTCAATAAAAAGAAACTATACTCTCCTAGAAATGTATTGCTTTGTAATTTCTTTTATTGGTATATGTGTGTATATATTTATCAAGCACCTGCTGTGTTCCAGGCAGCATGCTAAGAACTGGGGATGGATACCTAGGTGAATGAGCCAGACACAGTCCTGCTCTCATGGAATGCAAGTCTGGCCAAGGAGAAGAAGCATGAGGTGCTATGAGAGTAAATGAGGGATGAGGGAATATTCCTTGAGGGTGAGACATTTTTACTGGCATCTAAAGAATTAGTTATTTTTCTAAAGCCTGAACAGAGAGAATAAAAATGACAGTGGAGCTACACAGACATGCTCCCAGGACCAAAATACAACTAAAATACAAAAAGCATCCTGAACAATCAACTGAAGGATAGCTGGAGAGCATCCTGATAACCAAGGATGGAAAGTGGAGACAACATAGAGACTGGTAGGAAGGGTGGAGGCATGAAGGGGCTGGCTGGGCTCCCACAGACATAACTGAAGTTCTGGAGAGAGATCTCAGCTGTGGGGGTTGCCACTGAGAACTCAGGGGTCTAATCCCCAAGCTGGGCCCCCAGGCAAAGAACACCAGAACTGAGAAAGGTGCCCACATGACATCTGGCTGTGAAAAGCAGCAGGGTTGCTGTCTGCCAGGGACAGGCAGCTGGGACATTCAGGTACCCACTTAAAGGGCCAATGCACAAAATTCCTTGTGGAGCCACTCACCTTGTGCTCTGGCAGAGGGAGGGCAGAGTGGACTGGAGCTGTGTGAGCAGAAGCCAGGGTTGGGGGCTCTGTGGTTAGAGCTCAGAAGGCAAACACCCCAGTTTCTTGTGCTGAGTCATTCCCTCATGCTGCGGAGGTCGTCTTTCTCAGGCAGACATTTGCTATACCGGTGGTTTCAACAGTTGACCCACCCTATTGGAAAACACCTTGCTCCATGCTGTGGAGTTTCTGAGGCTCATTAAGAGACTGAGAATGGGTTTTTGTATGCACCATCTCTAATTCCTTGACTTGGTGGAGCTATCCCTTTGCTTGTTTGGACTCAACTGGTTTTCTCTGGGAGAGGAGGAATAAATGGGAAACTAGCAGAACCATGGAGGCAAAGTAAGAGCAGAAAGGATGACCCCAGGGATGAACTAACATCCAGATTGTATTCTAGGATAAAGTAAAGCATTTACAGAAGGCTTTTGCTTCAAGAGTAGATAAATCCACACAGACTGAAGTTCGAGGCTATGATGTGAATCTTAGCTAAGATAAGAATCCTCTGAGGAGAACCAAGATGGCGGCATAAGGTACAGACCTGTGCCTGCTGCATCCCACAACAACATCGAGACTACCAACTATAAAAGAAACAGTTGTCATTCAGAACCATGGGAAAGCTGGCCCAGTGGAAGCTCTACAACTGGAAGGAAAGAAAGAAGAGCATTGAGACTGAGTAGGTTGTGCAGAGGCTCCAAGAACGGAGGTACGGAATCGTGCGCCAGGCTGGCTGCAACTGGATGTGTTGTTTGTTTTCAACCAGAAGGGGATGCAGACTATCAAATCCACTGAGCGTGTTTGGGGCGGGATCCTAAGGTCCCAGACCCCTACGGGGAGAAGCGGGACGGCCTTGCAACGACCCGGAGAGCGAGAGTGGCTGTCTCACGGAACTGCTCGCCGGGCACTCGGGGACGCGAGTCGCTGAGTCTCGGAGAGGTGAGTAGACGCGGAGACACCATTGCCCTTGGCCCCGCCCTACTCAAATTACATCCCCAACCAAGCTGTGCTAGTGGCAAAAAGAGAACCACCAGCGCTTTTGCAGCCCAGCCCAGCAGAATGCAGATTTCAACTCCTCGCATACATAAGGGACACACTCAAGAAGCAGAATCAGGTTCGGAGGAAGCCGGAGCCGGACCCAGCTTGGCCAGTGATGTGGAACCGCTGTACCAGCAAATGCACAGGCAGACCCACCAGATCCAGTCTCACATGGGACGCTGGGAGAC